CTCTTTAAGTTTATCATACAAAACTTTTATATTTTAAACAAAATGATAAAACTGCACTTGTTTTATATTTGAAATCTTGGGTTTGAAGTGATATATTAAACTGAATTACAAATAATTTTCATTTTTGTTTATCAAGTTTATTCTTAAAAGAAAAATGAAATACAATTAGATTTTATTCAGTTATATATTCACCATTATTTGCAATGACCTATTGCTACCTATTAAGCAACTCTTTGATATCTTGAGTAAAATCCCACAGGTTTTGGCATGATAAATTTTTCAATGAACTCTTAAATCTCATTTTCATTAGAGAAAGTAAACACTATCAAAACATTTTGCAGCACTCAATAAAGGTAATAATTGGTTGGTGCAAGGTCAGATGATTATTGGTAGATGGGGTAGAACCAGCCAACTCAGTTCCAAAAATTTTTCCAGTTATTTTCGATTGATTCATTTTCTATGGCCTATTTAAAGCCAGAAAATATTTTTACATTGTTAGAATTTTTTGACTGGAAATAATAATGGTTTAGTGATACAAGTTTTATTAATTAATCTATAGCTGAAGAGTGAAGTAGATTCATACCTTTCCCAAGGGTATTTGTGCATAATGGGAATTGGAACTTGGCTCTCTGATTAACAATTTTAAGCCATTGTCTATTACACCACCTGCCCATCCAAATTTACAGCACCTGTTATTTCCATCTGTTATTCTTGCTGTATATGACTGTGTTATGGAAGGGAACAACATTTTTTCTATTGATGAGCACAGTGTGTTTTGGCCAAAATTTTATGGACATGTTGCAGCTGCTGGATACATAAAAGTACAATTAGTTCATTGCTTTAAGAATATTAAATGATCCTACCATATGCACCTTACTTTTCTTCCATGAAGCTCAGCTTTTTGGGTTGAATCTTGAAGGTTTATCCTTGTCAATCCATTGCTTTTTGTGTTGAACATTGTTGTATATGACCCATTTTTTTTAATCACCTGATATGAACATATATATATATTATTATATATTTAATGTCTGGTGAGGATGTTATATTCACCATTAAAATTGGTTCCCAAAAATGAAAATTACTTATGACTCAACCTAATAATTATTTCTTTTAAACCCACTTCTGCTCGAAGCAAAATAATATCTTAATCATGGACATTTCTTTTCCATAAGAATTATACTTCAAAAATTCAATGTTATAACATATACACTTTAAATTTATATGGCCAGTTAATAATCATGAAGTTACCAGGTGATTCAAGTTGCTTTCTATTGGATCCAGATATTATAACCTCTAAACAAATGTAATACAATCTTTGTTCTTAATTGAATTATCAATCTAAATGTAGCTGTCGGTTGTGATATTCTTGGAAGTGTGAGAAAGCTGAAGTCATAGCAAAGCAAATACATTTTTATGTCTTGTACTATTGTTTTGTTTCATTTTCTTTGTCTTTTCATTGCTTCAACATAGCAGTAATAAAACAAATTGATTTGGTTTCACAAGTTGCATAATTGTTTGTGATAACAACACTTTATACTGGACTAGATTGCAATCAAGACATGATAGATTTTAATGACGGTAGAAGAGGTTATTATCAGAAGGACTATCAAAACAAACTGACAACATCAGTCACATGAGAGAAAACAAGACAGAAAAAGAATTAAAATTTTTATTCCTCCTTTATTGTTATCATTTACTTAATTGACATTAATAAACACCTAACTGTGGCTATTTGGGTCTTTTTATAGTAACTACAAACACTGGTTATAAAGTAGGGCAATGCTTACTTTTTTATCTTATAATGTGGGTGTATTTAAGACAATAAACTCAGTTCATTAAAGATTAAGGAACTAAATATTTTTTTGATTAATGAACTGTTTTCTTATCTCATATTTTCAAGGGTTGCATATCCAAATATTTCTTGTAAAACTAATCAGATATTATATAGGCTGAGTGATTCAGCTATTTAGTATGAGATGGGAATAGTAAATAATAGGCTAATTTATAACTGAGGGGGTGTGGAAAAGTTCTTGGCTCAACCAAAAAAACCTTTGGTTAAAAAAAAAAATAAATAAAAATAATATGTCTGACTTAAGTTTTTGGAAACGGTTGGGGGCGGGGAAACAAGTTTTTTGACACATAATATATATATATATTATTGTTATACGTTATTTTTATTGGCATAAATATTTAAGTAAATGCTCTGTTTATAATAAACAGTACTAACAACATTTACCGGCTTGAATGTGAGAAAATTTCATGGAAAATATGTGTCCTCTGACAGGTTTGTAATTTGACCTTGCTAACTAGACACTTCCTTCATAGCTAAACTGGTAAAACACATCAAGCTTTATGATGGTTCCATGTAGGATACAGGTTTGATTCCTGTCGAAGGATGCATATTTTCTATGAAATTTCTTGGACATTCAAGTCGCTAAATGTTGTTAATACTGTTTATTATAAACAGAGTATTTACTTAAATATTTTTGTCTATAAAAATAATGTATAACATTAAAATAATTTTTGGACTTAGTGCATTTCATAATATATATATATATATATATATATATATATATATATATATATATATATATATATATATATATATATATATATAGAGAGAGAGAGAGAGAGAGGTATTAGGTAAAAAGTGAAATTGTTAGAAAAATCTGTACAAAAACTTGCTGTGTAGAGAAAATAATAAGATTTGAAAAAACACCTAATGTTTTTATATATTTATGTAATATTTATAATACATATATGTTTACAAAGAATTATTAAGATTTTTTAAAGGGTGTTCTAATAACTTGGACTGATTTTATGCTTAATTCACATTTAAAATAGGTCCCAACACCCTTTACTTACATGTGGGTTTTCAGCAACCCACATATAAGTATAAATTTCTTAAATGTTATTTTTGTGGGTACACATGTTTGAGTTGATATCTTTTTTTTTTTATTTTCTCAAACCATGAAATTTATAACAACTGGCTTAGATTTTACTAAAAGAAAATGTGCCTCTGACAGTAATCAAACCTGTATCCACTTTTCCATCAGGCAAACCGCTTTTATAGTCAAAGTGTGCCTTTATCAATTCAGCTACAGAGGCTGCATTGATAGATAGGTTTGAATTACCTATTTATGGAAATCACATTTCTCAATGGCACTTCTACAACTCTATATCTTCTCAAACCAGGCTGGTAGTTATTAATTTCACTGATTAAAAATAAAAAAAAGCAAGAGGTGACAAACTCAAATCTGTATGCCCTCTAAAAATATTTTTTATAGTAATAAGAAATAATGTTGGATCAACATTGAAATGTCTATGATAAAAATATAGTTTCAAGGTATGCCATATTTATGGATTTAAGTGGTCAATATCAGGAACAGAGTATATGTAAACATAAAAGTGGACACTGAAGTCAACACTCAATAGTGACAGTCTGTTTCATGCTTGAACACAATCATTAGGCCATATATGAAAAACCATTGGTGGAACCAATGGACAATTTGCCTCCTAAACTTAAAACTCCTATCCAGATACAGTCTTGAATAAAACTGACAATACTAAAAAAATGAGAAAAAAAGCCTAAAAGCAAACTTACCTACTAAGTTCTTGAAGCCCAGATTGCCTAGAACAAGCAAAAAATGTTTGCTAACATTAAATCCTATGAAAGGATGGCTCTAGTCATAACTAGAGTTTTCACATGCTCTTCAGATGATTTGAATGAGTCTCAAACAAGGACAAATGTCAGTTTTTTTTTATCATGTTTTTTATCATGTTTTGTTTTCTTGTATAATGACGTGTTTTCATGGTCAACACTCCTTAAGCTCCAGGGCTCACACACACACAAAAAAAAAATGAATACTGACAGCTTATATCACCAGAACTGGCCTCTTCAATCTAGACAGTGGCACTCAAACTTGAATGTACATTAAATCTATATTAGATTAATTATATACATACATACATTTGAATATAGGTGCCCCGGATGAATTTATATATTGTATATATTTAAATAATATAATATTAATTAACATATAACGTTCATTTTTAATAACTGTTAAATAATACTTTGTCACATTTTTTATTATTTTTAAATACAAGATAAAATTGCAAAATAAATAGGAATAGCCAGAGAATAACTATTTCCTCCTCATCTTTATACATTATTAAAAATGAACAGATACTACATTTTGATCCTGAACAGTCACAACTAGACAGGAAAACATCTTGTTACAATTAGAATTTCATAAATAGAGTGTTTTTTAATTTCATGTCTTCCCTGTTAATTCAAATTAACTGCTCTATTAAGTGTGGATTAAAAGCAATGAAGAGAGATTTATCTGAAAACTCATTAAACATTTGCTTATCTAAAATCAGATAAAGAGAAGTTTTACCAAAAATCATTATAAAAAGGAAAATGGAGATCTTTACAAATTTATGAATGAGATTTGCAGATAATGAAAAAAAAAAGAATTAAGCATATCTAAAATCTTGCTTGATTATTCTGGTATTAAAAACTAATTTTATGAATTCCTGGATTATTTGTAAATTTCATTACCTTATTTGATGGCATATAGGAAACTGCTCATTCATTTACATGTAATATTACATCACAATATAACTAATTAATGCTCTCACTAAATCATTAAAAAAATGAATAGCAAAATTCTTGCTGAATTTCTACTAAAGTTAACAAGGCAGAAAATAAAGGAAACAAATTATCTTCTAAATAATAACATGATGTAATGTACTTGACTTGATGCCCTCAATTGAGTAGGTAAGCTTTGATATGAGGAAATAAAGGCCAATTTGTATAAATATGTTTACATCAGCAATTCTCTGAGTGAAAGTAATTATCCCAAAGAGATAATCTAAGGTTTTGCAGGGAGATAATTGCAGCTTACAAAATTATAGCATTTGGTTCTTTTTAATGAAAATATAGTTTACTTATATAAATGTTTTATTAATTTGTTCCACTTTGCTTGTGGTAGGTTTATGGCCACATCACATTGAAACACCAGTTCTCATACAATCACCTAAGTTAAGCAATGTCGAGCCAGGTCAGTACCTAGAATGGGTGACCACTTGGGAATGCCAGGTGCTGTAAGCTTGGATGTGTTGGTGGTGTAATGGATAATGGCTCAGAATTGTTAATTGGAAAGCAGAGTTCCAATTCCAGTTGAGTTCATTATATTCACAAGCAACCTTGGGAAAGGTATGAATCACCTTCTTCCCCTAGCTATGGGTTAATTAGTAAGACTTGTATCATTAAACCATTATTATCTCAAAAAAAAAAAAAAAAAAAAATCCTCACCTTGGGAACAACTGGTCTACAGTAAAGAGTCATAGGATAGAGTACTAGATAAGTCATTTCAAGGTCAACTTGGGATCAAAGATATGAGTGGAAATGAAAAGGAAGTTTAAGTTCAGTTAAGAGTTTACAACTATATTTTGGAAACTATATGAATGGGTCAATGAGGAGGGTATAGAGATAGAAATACTATGGAACACAGATATAGCAGGTATGCATAAAAAGATAAAACACTAAAAATAAAAAACATACAACAAAAATGGAATGAACAGATTGGAGAACTCTTCCACAAAAACAGAGGAGAGAAACCTATAATACATAGAAAGAAAAAAATGGAAGTGCCTGTAATATTAAAATACAAGGTATGATTTGCATTAGCCAAGATGAACAGAAACAAAGCAACAAGACCGGATGGGATTGTAAGAGAGATGCTGCCAGCTTTAGACAATTCCAGGATTGATATGTTTACTGAAATAATAAATGAAATATATAACAATGACAGAATACTGAAAGACTCCAGTAGATCTATATTCATAGCAATGCCAAAGAAGCCAAATGTAAATAAATGCAAGCACCATTGGACAATCAACTTAATGAGATACATAACTAAGCTTATCATTAGGATTCTCATGAATGGAGTTCATAGAAAGATTTAGACCAGATATAGAGCAAGAATAATGTAATATTGTTCAAGACACTGGAACAAGAAATACTATCTTTATGATCAGAATGCTATCAAAGTAAGCAATACAAATGAAAAAAAAAACAAATACTATATATTTCATAGATTACACAAAAGTATTTGATAAAGTCTGACACAAATGCTTACTTGAAATGCTAAAAAAGCTTGAGTTATATGGGAAAGATACCCAAATAATTTGTAATCTTTACTGGGAACCAAACAGCCTGCATGCAGATAGAGAACAAGTTCAGTGAATACAAATAAACAGAAAGAGGAGCAAGATAAGACTGTGTTTTCTTTCTGGATTTATTTAACCTATTCTGTGAGATGATCCGAAGAGAACTAGAAGGCTTCCCAGGATTTATGACAGTGTGGATGACAGACTCAATAGATAAAATGTATTAATTCTTAGATATATGAGTAAAGAAAAACAAGAAAGAACTATTAACTAATGTTATAGAGTAGGACAGTGAACTTCCTTCTCTTCTCTAATACTGTGACAATGGACTTCTACTTATAAATATGGAAAGGTAGCCACATTAAAGTAGGATTTGAGTAGTTGTTACTCAAGTTTTTCCATTCTATGTATATTTAATAAACCTCTTCTTTGTTTTCCCTACCTAAGTCTTCTGTTCCTTCAATATTCTCACTATGGCCTTCCTAATTCCTGGTTATTTTGTACAAAGACATTTCAATAAGACGAAATGCCTGTTTATCAGCAAAAGAGACAACTCAAGATTAGAGCTACATATTGGGGATGTTAAAATCAAACAGGTACAGAAATTTAACTATTTGGGTAGTGTAGTAAGAAAAAATGGAAAATATGAAAAAGTTTGAAAAAGCATTAAGAATAGTGATAAAATTAATTGATTTGTTTTGTTTTTTTTAAGCTTCCAAAAATAAAGTAAAATAGGAAAATGTCATTAGAAACAAAGAATATGAACAGAACATGTGAGGAATGTGTAGGCTTTGAGGAAAATAGTAACAAATAGGACACTTAGATTTAGGATCAGAAAGAGGCCGTTGAAATTTCTGAGATGCATAACGAGGAAAGAGGTCTAGAGAATTTAACAATCACAGGGCATAATGAAGGTGAGAGAACCAGCGGAAAACAGTAAATAACCCACCTAATGAGTTTGTGTGAATGGATGTTAGAACAATGACAAAGACAGATGGTAAAAAGTCAAAAGTTAATTAGAGCAAAAAAAAAAAAAAAAAAACAGGAATAATTTACATTATTTACACTGTTGCTCTCATCTTTATTAGCATATTAACAATGCTTCGGCCATTGTACACTCTGGCCTTCTTCAGGTGATATACATTGGAATTTCAAATCAAATCCTTTATTTAGTCCAAGGTGATAAATTGTTATAATTCCACATGCCATGCCTTTTTTGGATGTCTCAGTTTCAGATTATTCCCTCAACTCTCCAAGTTTTTGTTCCCTCTGACCCATGGATAAAAAGCATTGGTTGAAGTAATTTAAAAAGTGACTTGAACCAAATGGTTGTGAGTTCAATACTTGTCCACAGCCTGAACAGTATAAATAGTATAAATAGTTATAATACCTCATCTCAGAAATATAGACAGATATTAAAAGACAGGAAGTTGTAGAGAGCTATGATCACTCTCAATCTGAAAGGACTTGGCACATAAAAGAAGATTAATAGAATCAGTGAAGATTATTTAAAATAAAATGATTTGATTTAATCAGTTTTCTGGATTGTTTGAAGAGGTCAAAAATAAGAAGTTAAAATTTCCTATTTCCATTAAGTATCCCACTTACAGTCATTTCCTTCTCTTAAATTGGTTGTCACTAACAACTTCATCAATCCAGTATGTGAGAACATAAGATAGATTTTGAAAAGTCTAAGTAGATTATGAGTAAATAATGATTAAAACTCAGTGGGGAAGTTTGAAGTTGGCTGGAAAGATTTAAAGAATAATTATCAAGTTCTCAGGTTTATGGGTTCATTTATGTGCCATGTCCCTTCAGAAAATGGGCAATCATTCCTATCCAAAACTTTCTATCATTTGTAGCTCTAAGCAATGTATGTTCACTTACTATCCCTCCTACTTTATATTCTGCAAAGATATGTATTAAAGCGTTTCACTAAATAGCAGCACTACATTCCTAAATAAAAATAAAAAAACTTGCTGAATTTCTTTATAAGTATCTCAAATATTGAGAACTTTTTATTCCAATAACAGCAGGAAGTATGATCTTATGATTTATTATTAATATTATTATTTTCCTCTTATAATTGTGCATGTACCTCCCTTTGTTACACCCTGACAATACCTCATAAATACTGGATCATGTATAAATAGGAAAAAAAAACTACTTGATGAATGAAAGAAAGAAGGAAAGGTAGAATTGTTTAACAGCAGTTTTAATGAAATGTAAAAACTTGTCAATTTCAATTTTTTTTTCATTTGTACCCACTTCTTAAAATAATCACCAGCATTCATATTTATGATTGGTATTGCAATATTTTGTGAAAGTTATTAAGTTCAAATATTTAATGATGTAAAAGGGGAATTTTTATGAATAGCTTATTGTTCTAGAACTCACCACAAGCTTACTCAATCATTAGCTTAAGAATTAAGATGCATCAGAATATTTAAAAATCAGTAAACTGAAATTTTCATGAGTTAAAACTAGTTAATATGATTTACACAGAGAAATTTTTTGATTTCAAAATTTAATGACTTTATACACAAAATAATCATATATATATATATATTTTTATAATAAACAGTATTCTCGGACATTCAGGCGGTAAATGTTATTTAATACTGTTTATTATAAACAGAACATTTACTTAAATACTTGTATCTATAAAAAAGAACATTAAACATAAAAAAAAAAATGTCTTTAATAAATAAATTGTCGGACTTTGTCCATTTCTTAATATATGACGTCATTTGTTTACATTTGATACGCCAGAGCAGTTATGAATGTACGAGATTCATGGAAGATTGAAGTTTATAAGCAGTAAATTCGACCTTGTCTACCGAACGCTCCTTTGTGGTCGATCGGTAAGGCACGTCAGCGTAAATGACGGTTCCATATAGGATGCAGGTTCGAATCCTGTCAAAGGATGAATATTTTCTATGAAAATTTCTCGGACATTCAGACCGGTAAATGTTATTTAATACTGTTTATTATAAACAGAACATTTACTTAAATACTTGTATCTATAAAAAAGAACGTTAAACATAAAAAAAATGTCTTTGATAAATATATATATACACACACACACACACACACACACACAGGGTTTGATGGATAAATTGTCAACTAAATTATGCTAAATAACACTGACATCTTGTTTTAACAGATATCTTTACCAAAATTACAGGAAAATATCTTGAAATACTAAAGGGTAAATTTATTTAATAAAATTGCCATTGGCTTCAACCATGGCCTCCAGAATCTCCAACAACTCTTGTGGACAGTCTCCGCATGTAAGTTAGTGAAAACTGACATAATCCTTACCTTTAGTTCATCTTTGATGTTACAAGGAGTTTTGTTGGTCTCTTGCTCATCTGCACCTTACACATAATAATCAAGGGTTTTGCAGTCTGGGGAGTTAGGTGGCCAGATATAAGGGGTAATGTGGTCACAGAAATTGTCTGACAGCCATGACTGTACACTCATGAATCATATTCTGCTTACATTTATTCCATTTCCCAAGGAAGAAAAAAAAAATTTGACCCTTCCCACACACAAACACATATATATATATATATATATATATACATATATATCAACACAGACACACTCACACACACATACCAACATACACATCTACAAAGCTGTAACCCTGGTAGGGGAGTAAACAGGTGCTAGATCTTAGCCACAGATCACCTGCAGGTAACAATGGTTTGGGGTACCCTAATTCTGTCCCTTAGTCAAGACTCCATTATTGGGTATAGTTTAAGGTCATACCCAAGACCTATCCACACCCCACAAAAAACAAAAAACTATAATCATAAAAAAACAAAAACAAAAAAATGCTAAAAAAATAAAAAATATCAAGTTCAACTTCCTTTCATCTCCTTACTGACTGCCAATCACTTGATTTTTTCAGCCATAGCCATCTAGAGTC